ACAAAGTATTTCTGCACAGCTGCAATGTGGCACTCACTGAACATTTACACATTTCCCATCTGACAGTATTATGATAACAAAAAACTCAAAACGTTCACAGATCGATAGATCAACAGAAAGCACTGCTCCCAAACTAGTGTAAGGCATCTTTCCAAAGTGATAATATAGAAATGACATGTAAAGCTTATATTTTCACGTGTTCTTTTCTCTTTCATTTTTTAGGAAGGACAATTTAAGCACGGTACTGTAATTAACGAAGTTAATATTGATACAGCGCACTGTGCCAATGACCAAGTCACCGAGGAAACATACACCTGATCTCATCAGATCTCAGAAGCCAAACAAGTTTGAGCCTGCGTTGTGTTTAAATCGGTCGCAAAAAAAACTCAAATAAGGCGTTACCGGCAGTAGGGAGCATTGCAGAACAGTGCACTGACGACCTGCACTGACCTGTGCTTGGAAATATGGACACATCATCATCCAGCAGTGGATTTACAAAAAAATGGGCTGTACATGCAATAGCGGAGCCAGGATTTTCGGTAGGGGGGGCAACCCCTCCAGCAATGAAAAAGGATAGAGGAGTTGTTAGGTAAGGACTTGTCCCTTGCTTTTGATTCGACGCGTGTGCGGTGATAGCGTAAACATCGATCTAGGGTCGAATTCGAACCGCATCGCGCTCGCTGAAGGTGAATGCCTTCAGGGAAGTCGTGTCCTGTAGACGCAACTGTGCACAATTATGTGAGTCACTTATAACTGCTTTGACGTTACTTATTGGCATTTATGGACTGAGACTATTGTCCTATCATCTCATATAGTCTCTGGCACGTAATAATATACTACACAGTGGCAGTGGGGGTCGCAAAATGCCGATTTATTACTAATAACCCCCAATTATCCGATATAAAATAGGGATTTCGATCGGATCATTGGGGGGGGGGGGGCACGTTCCACCCCACCCCCCACTGGCTCCGCCAGTGCGTGTACATGTAGAGATACAGAGGGCTATATATCCTCAGCCAGTAGTTAAAAAGTAACTTTCTTATCGCGGGGGGCATTCTCTTTATAGACCACGAACTGTTGAGTTCCCACATGAAGTTATATTCAGTCCGTTGATAGAGTGATGATGGGCTGAGTAGACCCATACCAGTGGCTAAACTCTGGAGATAGACTGCATATCAATTATTTTCATGGCACCATTCACGGAGATGACAGCATTAGTTGCGTTTTAGGTAACATTAAAACACGTAATAGGCTACAAACTCACGACAGGATGCTGCCACCATCCCTGAATCTACCCGTACCCGCAAAAACGTTTGCAAACAGAGTGGACACCAACGCCGACGTTCAACATAAACACCTCATTCGAGACCCAACCATCGCAACCACCCTTTGCCTTAAGACTTTCCTCGAAGACAACGGTGGCGTAACCATAAATTGCGTCAGAACATCAACAGGGCGATGCGCACATCTCCTTCATGAATGAAAATTTGAAGGCGAGCCACAGCAATGCGACTGTGGTTGCTATGCAAACCAAACGAAAGACCACAGAATACACATTCCTGCGGAGGGAGCTGGTAGGAACGTTGGGTTGCTCGGTCAATGGCCAGGGTCAACGGCGGCGTGGTGTATTCCGCAAATATGCCCGACTGTGAGGGCGGGCACAAGCCGGCGTGAGTAGGTTACACGTTGAGTTTTATAAGGGCACCACGGGGTGACCAGCCCCTCCCCACCCAGCCCCACCCCTCCCACCCCCTCCCCACCCAGCTCCTCCCCACCCAGCCCCACCCCACCCAGCCCCACCCCTCCCCACCCAGCCCCTCCCCACCCTCCCCACCCAGCCCCTCCCTGCACGACGGACGGACACAATAATCCCCTGTGGGCTGGTGTAACCAGGAGGTTCCTACCAGTAAAACCACTGCAAACGGTGCTTCTTTCATAGAGGAGGCAAAGCAAAACTACACGAACTCTCTCCTGAAGCCTTCTCGGGGTTGGCAGACCGCAACGTTGGCATGGAGCTCCTGATCATATTTCTGCCATTCAGCGAAAAGCGTCTCCGTTAAGATATACCACAACACACAGAGTTTTCCCAACTCCAGTCTCACACAAACACCAATTTACTCCCCGTCGAAATACAAATTAACTCGTTCCGCGCTGCACGCGCCCGATGCTTGTTAAACGCGACTTGCTAAGCAATGTCTATTTCACGTGGAACACGTGTACACACACACACACGAAACACGTGTGTGTGTGTGCACACACCGATATATCAATCCTCATTTAAATCGGATCAATGCAGGTTAGCGTTAATTGCTTAGAGCGGCACGTGCGTGTCGTGTTTAACAATCATCAGGCGCGTGCAGCGCGGAACGAGTTTCTACTTATTTGTATTTGAATGGGGAGTACATTTGCGAACGCGGCCAGACCGGAGCGTGCCTGCGCGTCGCGAGGAGTGGAATTTGGTGAAATTCTGCCGGAAATAATACGTCTGAGATTTACGAGATAAGCCCTTTTTAACTGAGAATCGTGACCACGAAGCTTCGTCTCCACCTGACTGACGTGTGGGATGTGTAACGACAAGGGGAATTCCAGTCGCTACCATACACGTTATTATGTAAATAAAAAAAGCCCCAACCTAAAGTTGTAGATTGTACCACAAAACACAACTTTTCAACACATTCCTCAATAACCACTGCTTGAAAGGGGGGGTGGGGGGGGGGTAGTGTACAATAGCATAATTGACAAATGTGTTGAATTGTTTCGTTAATTGTGGGCCACTGCCAACGCAGTATCACTAAACAATGTGTTGAGTTGGCATTCCTGCGTGTGAGTGGACTGGTCGAGTGGCCTACTGGGCATTTTTGTTCTCCCCCGTAATGCCCTCGATCTCTTGACACGTCAATATCTGAATAACCCAACCGGTAATGGGTACCCATTGCAATTTATATGTATTCATTATCACCCCTCTCTGGCCTTCGCACCTGAGGGGCTCCCAAGTGACCGACATTACATCTACACCTCTATTTAGGAAGTAAACAGGAGGATTTCTCCACAAATCTGGCGGACGCCTGATGATGCTTGTTGTAATTACTGGCGAAACGTCGTACTCAAATTGTAAATGGGGATTTACTCTCCAACACACCGGTGCGATGTTCTAGTAACGACTCGATATGTTTTGTTTATGTGATAAACCTTACTAATTGGCTGTGTCGGGTGGTGGTGGGTTTAACGACACATTTATATTTACGCAATCTAACCCCCAAAAAAACCTCATGGTTAATATCACTACATTAACATCACTAGCCCCGCCCACTTCGCTTATGACCCTTGGGCTACACCCATTTCAAGCCTTTAAAACATCCTGCCTCAGCAGCTTTCCTGCTATTTTTTCTCCTGATGATGATTGCTTGTGTTACAATCGAAACGTCGTAGTTTTTTTAGATTTTTTGTTATTTTGTTTCAAACTATCTACGTGACTTTACCGAAAGACCCAAGAATGTGAATATCACTATCCTTTGTCTCGTCCATTCTGACACTCACAACAAATACATGCCACATTGAACAACAACAAACACATACCACATTGAATAAGACGGTGCGGGAGGTCATATGCATGCATTCAGTCTGGAAAGCAGTTCAGAGGCTCTAAATGATTCCAGTTTGTTAAAACATTATTCAGTACTGTACACACACACGTTGCCTTGTTATCGTAGTTGTAAACGAGCACACATTGGACCTGTGCAATTAAATTGTCACAACCGATCGCTTTTGTAAATTCTGTTCAGTTTTTTATAACGCTGTGTAGGTAAAGGCGCAAGCCCCTGCAATTGCCTTCTCACGCCACTGCAGACGGAAGGGACTCCACAAGATGGAGCTCTAAAGAGCCCCTCTATAGGGTATTTGGCCTACTCTTCTACGCTGAACAAACGTCTTGGAAGAGATGGGAGTGCCCACACTTTACCCCACTACCACACGCGACCAACCGTGGTGGTGCCCGTGTCATATAATAAACTGCTGGGTATACACATAATTCTAGATTTTGTTGTTATTCTGTCTCTCGCTGTTCAAATAAACCTACCATTAAAATTATAGACTGATCATTTCTTTGTCAGTGGGCAAACGTACAAAATCAGCAGGGGATCAAATACTTTTAAAATCCTTTATATTAAGTTCGCTTGCTTGTTTGCTTAGGACCGTGCAAATCTTTCTGTCGTTTTTTAACCCACTTCCCGTGATCCAATCGAGCTGACATTTTGCACACAGACTCGCTGTGCGTGACAATTAATGTTCGTGGAAAAAAAGTTCCAAAATTTTACACTTTATAGGACAAAATATTATATTTAATTACCAATTGCTTAATGGTGCAATGCAATCATCTGACCCATAGGTGGCAGCCATCTCAAGCCAGAGGACGAGAGGACTCTAGCCGCCCCGATGCCACGCATATATATAAAGGATTTAAAAACTTTGTTTTTAAATCCTTTATATTAAGTTCGCTTGCGCGCTTGCTTGCGTGCTTGCTTGCTTACGACCGTGCAAATCCTTCGGTCGTTTTTTTAACACACTTCCCGTGATCCAATCGAGCTGACATTTTGCACACAGACTCGTTGTGCGAGACAATTAATGTTCGTGAAAAAAAAAAATCCAAAATTGTACACTGTTTAGGGAAAACAAATTAAATATTTAATTACCAATTGCTTAATACTGGCAGACAATCATCTGACCCATAGGTGGCAGCCATCTCAAGCCAGAGGACGAGAGGACTCTAGCCGCCACGCATATAAAGGATTTAGAGTGAAAAACTTTGTTTTTACGGGTTATACTTATTACGGGTTAATTTTTTCAACAAACTGTATGTTGAGTTCCCTACGGGGAGTGGGGTGGGGTCTGCTGGCGTGACCCCAGCTGAGCCGGGGATTTCCAGAGAGGGGGATGAGGAGGGAGGGAGGCAGTAGGAGGAGGTCTCTTGGTAAGGAAGCGAGAAACATTTTTGCCGGAAACGTTTGGACGCCTTTCATTATCAGACACGCTGCCAAGCCCGGTTGTGTGTTTGAACCTCTTGTGCGCTGGTGATGAATCAGAATAATCATCATAATCACCACCACCACCAATCAGCCTGCTATCGTGATTAGACTCAATAATCACCGGCCGTCCCAGACTATTTTGTTTGTTGCCGGAGCTGATACTCAGTGGACGTACACAGAGAGACGGAGACAGACAGACAGAAAGCCGCGTTTCATTTCACGAGCAAAGAGGACGAGGGAAAGAGTTTCAGCGGCGCCTGTGAAGGATTCGAAGGCAACGAAGGGCTCAGGGAAAAGCCCTCGAGACGAAGACGACGATGATGATGATGGTGGTGATGATGATGATGGTGGCCGACGCACGCGGTCTTCTGCTGCTCCTCGGACTGACCGCCGTGCACTCCTTCGCCGCAGGTGAGACACAGACGGCCCCCAGCCGTGTCACCAGCCTTCTAACAGACCCCCCCCCCCATACACCCCCCCCCATCGGCCGCCTTTGTATCCCCGGTGGCGATGTATGTATGTATGCGTGCCAAATACGTTGCTTTGTTACTCGCATTTTGAGGCTGAGTTGACCTATGGGGGAGGCCCGGGACCGGTTCAGATGATCGTCACCAGCGACGTTGGTAGCCGTGGGGGGGGGGGGGGGCTGGTTGGAGGGGGGCTGGTTGGGGGGGGGGGGTTGGTTGGAGGGGGGGGGGGCTGGTTGGAGGGGGGGGGCTGGTTGGAGGGGGGGGGGGCTGGTTGGAGGGGGGGGGCTGGTTGGAGGGGGGGCTGGTTGGAGGGGGGGGGGGCTGGTTGGAGGGGGGGGGGCTGGTTGGGGGGGGGGGCTGGTTGGAGGGGGGGGGGGGCTGGTTGGAGGGGGGGGGGGCTGGTTGGGGGGGGGGGCTGGTTGGAGGGGGGGGCTGGTTGGGGGGGGGCTGGTTGGGGGGGGGCTGGTTGGAGGGGGGGCTGGTTGGAGGGGGGGCTGGTTGGAGGGGGGGGGCTGGTTGGAGGGGGGGCTGGTTGGAGGGGGGGGCTGGTTGGAGGGGGGGGCTGGTTGGGGGGGGGCTGGTTGGGGGGGGGCTGGTTGGAGGGGGGGGGCTGGTTGGAGGGGGGGGGGGCTGGTTGGAGGGGGGCTGGTTGGAGGGGGGGGCTGGTTGAGGGGGGGCTGGTTGGAGGGGGCTGGTTGGAGGGGGGCTGGTTGGAGGGGGGGGGCTGGTTGAGGGGGGGCTGGTTGGAGGGGGGGGGCTGGTTGGGGGGGGGGCTGGTTGGAGGGGGGCTGGTTGGAGGGGGGGGGGCTGGTTGAGGGGGGGCTGGTTGGAGGGGGCTGGTTGGAGGGGGGCTGGTTGGAGGGGGGGGGCTGGTTGAGGGGGGGCTGGTTGGGGGGGCTGGTTGGGGGGGGCTGGTTGGAGGGGGGGCTGGTTGGGGGGGGGGCTGGTTGGAGGGGGGGCTGGTTGGAGGGGGGGGGCTGGTTGAGGGGGGGCTGGTTGGAGGGGGGGCTGGTTGGAGGGGGGGGGCTGGTTGGGGGGGGGCTGGTTGGAGGGGGGGGGCTGGTTGGGGGGGGCTGGTTGGGGGGGGGCTGGTTGGGGGGGGGCTGGTTGGAGGGGGGGCTGGTTGGAGGGGGGGGGCTGGTTGAGGGGGGGCTGGTTGGAGGGGGGGGGCTGGTTGGAGGGGGGGGGCTGGTTGGAGGGGGGGGGCTGGTTGGAGGGGGGGGGCTGGTTGGAGGGGGGGGGCTGGTTGAGGGGGGGCTGGTTGGAGGGGGGGCTGGTTGGAGGGGGGGGGGCTGGTTGAGGGGGGCTGGTTGGGGGGGGGCTGGTTGGAGGGGGGGGGGGCTGGTTGGAGGGGGGGCTGGTTGAGGGGGGGCTGGTTGGAGGGGGGGCTGGTTGGAGGGGGGGGGCTGGTTGAGGGGGGCTGGTTGGGGGGGGGCTGGTTGGGGGGGGGCTGGTTGGGGGGGGGCTGGTTGGAGGGGGGGCTGGTTGGGGGGGGGGGCTGGTTGGAGGGGGGGGGCTGGTTGGAGGGGGGGGGGCTGGTTGGGGGGGGGGGCTGGTTGGAGGGGGGGGGGCTGGTTGGAGGGGGGGGGGCTGGTTGGGGGGGGACTGGTTGGAGGGGGGGGCTGGTTGGAGGGGGGGGGCTGGTTGGGGGGGACTGGTTGGAGGGGGGGGGGCTGGTTGGAGGGGGGGGGGGCTGGTTGGAGGGGGGGGGGCTGGTTGGAGGGGGGGGGCTGGTTGGAGGGGGGGGGGCTGGTTGGGGGGGGGCTGGTTGTTTGTGAAGGCCGGCAACGTGGGGGAGGGTCAGCTCGCCACACGGTACAACACACACGAGCTGGCGTTACCACACCTGTAACCCCCCCCCCCACCCCTTATGAATACCCTATCTGATTACAGACCAATTCAGACCTTGTTGGTTACCCCGTGCCCTTATAGATCTCAACGTTCAGCCTATACACTACACTATACACTGCTATACACTACTATACACTACACTATACACTACACTATACACTGCTATACACTACATTATACACTGCTATACACTACATTATACACTGCTATACACTACATTATACACTGCTATACACTACATTATACACTGCTATACACTACATTATACACTGCTATACACTACATTATACACTGCTATACACTACATTATACACTGCTATACACTACATTATACACTGCTATACACTACACTATACACTACTATACACTACACCACTACATGGCAGTCAACCCCTTATCAATGCCCAACCTTATTACAGACCAATTCACACCTTATTAGTCACCCCGTGTGTCCCCTATAAATATCAACGTTCATCCTACAAAATCCCGTCACAAGGAGAGAAACACAAAGAATAGCCACATTACAACAAAAAATATTTTTTGGCGCGTACTAGTAACGAATTGGCATGTTCCGTTTACGTGACGAAGCTTAAGCAATTCGGCTGTCGGGGTGGTGGCTGGTTTAACGACACAACATTTATACAGGCAGTCCCCGACTTACGATGGAGATGCGTTACGACGACCCCATCGTAAGTCGAAAATATCGTAAGTCGAACCATCGTAAGTTGGGGACTACCTGCATTTCGTCTTATGGATAATCTCGCTCTCGTTTGTCTCGTCCATTTTGACACTTAACAACAAACATATGCCACGTTGAACAATAGCACGGGGCGGGAGGTCATATTCATTCAGTCAGTCTGGTAAGTAGCCCAGAAAGCTGCACACGCATACAGTTTACAACGTGATTTTATCTTTCTTACAATTACATTTTTTATTTATTGTTCATGCCTGTGAAGCGCAATGTATTGCATTTTTTTGCACGAATAGTGCTATTAGAAATCTAGTTTGATTTGAGTTTATTCAAACATTCAGTACTGCACACACACACTGCCTTGTTATCGTAATTATGAGAATGTCCCTTTTTTAGAATTTTATTTTCTACCTACACGACTTTACCGAAAGAACCAAAGAGTATGGATCCCTGCAGTCACGAAAACTTCAAATCTAGATAGAATGTCCCCTTCATAAACGAGTACGCACATTGGACCTGGTTGTCGCAACCGATCAATTTTGTAAATACAGATAGTCCCCGAGTTATGATATTTCGATCTTACGATGGCGATAGCGATCTTGGTGAGTACAGTACAATATGATACGTTACGATACGTTCAATGCATGTATTATACGTAGCTTTAGCGATTCCATTTCAGGGTTACCACGATACGATACGTTAAATGCATGTTAAAAGTTTTTTTTTTTTATAGCAGATAGGATTGTTTCCTGAAAAAAACTTTCTATTAAATCGCAGTTCATGTAGGTAAACTAAGAATTTACCTTGTTTTTTACTTTACATTTTACTGTGCAATACAGTATTGTAATTAATAAATACATACAGTATATATTTTATACAGTAAATTGCTCTGTTTTGCTAAATTATCACAATTCTTTAAGATTCCTGGGTAGGCGATGCCATCTTCGACTTACGACATTTTTGACTTACGATGGGGGTCGTCGTAACGCATCTCCGTCGTAAGTCGAGGACTGCCTGTACTGAACAGTTCATTATGGACAAAGCGGGGTTTTGATGCGTGGATAGTACTCGGATTGGGGCGACAAGCATCAACCCCAGAAAGGTTGGTTATATGGGCCGCTCTTCGGGGGCGGGAGGCTGACTTGGCCTTCCACCCACAGTGACCATCGTGGTGAAGTATGGTCAAATACCCACCACGACCCGGCGTTGGTGGGTGGGCAGAGGCTCTCATCCAGCAGTGGATTGACACACACAAAGGGGCTTTAAGTGCACGGTAGAGTACATAACAACTTTGTTGTGGTGCGTTCTCCTTTGTTGCTCAGGGTTTCACTTAGACTGCCTTGCAGCGTTTGGGCTGTCAAGTTGGACTTGATTAGTTGTGGATGGTCACATTGTTACGATGCAAATGCAAGGATCATCTAGTTGTATCGTGCATGGAGGGTAATGTGGCAAACATTAGCGTTATACTTGAGGTTAACACAGTACTTCAGGCCAGAACTGTACACACACTCTACGGGCTACTAAGTAGTGCACAGTAGTTGAATATACAATTCCGATTGTGATAGAGAATGTGTCGTACCACGAGGTTGCAGACATTTCGCTACATATGTAAACAACTTTAACAGCAGTGCCACAACAACGTGTTGTCACAACTCCTTATGCGCACTATGCCCTGTCCAAAGTAGTGTTCGCTGCATGTTACTTCTTAGCTATTTTTGGTTTATTCTCAGAACTTTAAGAAGCCCCAGTCCAGGAAAAAAAAACACCTCCCTTTTTTAAATTGTCCTTTTTGTTGTACTGCTGCACTCAACAGAGTTGGCCAAAATGATCAAGGATTGTTTTTATTGTGTCACAAGGCAGTTGTTATCACGGTTAATGTTTTTAGTTAAAACAATTCCATTGCTTCACGTAAATACTGTAAGTTCATGGTGAGGCTCTCTCTTAGGTTGACTCAGCCGGAATTCCTGTACAGTAACACGCATGTGATTGGCAAATCCAAAGAAACTTTTATCTGCAACCATCAACTGTGCACCACCAGCTACTGTACACTTACCTTGTGTATACACCCCTTCAACCAGCCGTGTTGATTTACGACTACAATATAGTACAACTTTCCATGGTAAAATGCTACAGTGTGCCATATGATACTATTACAACCATGCCTCAGCAGCGATTATGAAGTTTGTACCATGTGTGTTGGTTTACATTCCAACCATGTAACGCCATTACAGCTGAATTATCCTGTTGGGTGGGTCTGTTGTGAAGCTTAACGCCATCACAGCACGTCATGTCACACTGCATTCCAAATAACAAAGATTCCCCGTATAGCCCTAACAGACTGTTAGCGAGCACCTATGAAGGTCAGAACGACACACGAGGGGGTGGGTGACCAGCACCAC